TGATACCTTACAAAAGTTTACCTGAGAACTTGAAATCTCTGCAAACTTGTTAAAAAAATAGATTTAGAAGCAACATTTTCAGGAGCAAAAGAAGAGAAATCAGGTCTGCCCTTTTATTTTGATGACTTCCATTACTCTCCAGCCCTGCCTCTGATCACTTTCCTCTTTAACTAGAGAATTAGTTAAGGCCCTCTCCGTTTTAGCTAAGTCTTAGAATTTGGAGAAGCATTAATATTCCATCTGCTGCACAAGGAATAAGAATGAAATATCTTCCTATTTTCTTACTCCCCACTTTCAGTAATTCGCCCCAAATTAGTGTGGTATTGTTTGGTTAAAATGTTTTCTCCTAACGGTCCTATTAGATTGGCTAAAATGGAGAGGGTCAGGATAAATAACCAGGATGAATGAGGAGGTGGGAAAAGAGATGCTCTCAATGACTATAAATTGGTGCCATCATTTTGAAGGATGATTGGCAATACAGATCAGACTTTAAAACTCACTGTCTCTCCTTTGGTAGTTCCATGTCAGAGCAGTTCATGTCATAGCAATTACACAAGTACACAAGAAGAAGAATATATATATATACGTATATATATATATATATATATATATATATATATATATATGTATATGTATAATTTCTCAGCATAATTTATAATAGCAAAAGATAAAGAAAACCTAAGTGTCCATCAACATGGTCATGATTTTAAAATTATGCTTCTTCTGTGTTGTGTAATGTTATACAGCTGTTATAAAAAAAAGCAATCAGGTTTGTATATACTGGCATGGAAAGACTTTGGGTGGGAAAAATTAAGTTGCATATAGAATATTTCCACTTTTTTCTGTGATATAAACATATATATGCACAGACGTGTATACAGACCCCCCTGCAAAAACAAATATATGTATAGGCTGAAAGAGGGAAAGATAGGGAGAGAAACCTGGAATGATGCTCAAAAAAACAATCTATGAGGTGCTAGGAGTAAACCAAGTAAGAAAGGAAACTTTGTATTTTACTTCATGCATTTCTCTACTGTTCAAATCTTTTCAATAATTGTAAAGAAAAAAAAACCCAACCATATATTATACCCAGCATGCAGCAGAAGAGGGAGTCAGACCTATTACTATTTTAATAATAAGTATTAACTCTAGATTTCTTTCCATCGACCTACCTGGAGAGAAAGGGCAATCTGCCCTGGTCATATGTGAACTAGACCTAACAAAGTCTGCCACAATGGTTTTTCTGAACCAAATGGAAAACTTTGGCTGAAAAAAAGTAGCAATTTGGCTAGATTAATCTCAGTTAATATCAGTTAAAGGTCAGTCAACAAAGCCTGCTGACTGATGGATGCAGTCAAGTTTCAGTGGCTCTTGAGCCTGGTGTCTCGGTGTTCAGATCCTCACTTTGAAGGACTCCAGAGAGAGTGAAAGAAAGAAGAACCACTGACCTCTGCATGCTCCTGATAAGCTTGTCTGCTTTCCTCCCCAACTTTCACTGCCTTTCCACCATAATCTGCCTTCAGGACTCAAGGATCTTTCACCTGACCTCACTTCTTACTTCCATGGTCTTCCCTGGCCTTGCTATCACCTGTAACTATACCATCTCCATGACCTCAATTTAAAGCATCTCATCCTCCCAGCACATTTATTATCTTTCTTGCACTCCTTATATCAAGAATGCCAACTCCAATAATTTTCAACCCCATTAGGATTTATAATCCGCTGATTTTTACCTTGCTTTACTCTCTACACCCACCTCGTTCCTCACTTCTCTCCTTTCCACCTTAAGTTCATGATTTATCATAATAATCACTCCCTTCTCCCCTTCTCCCTTCATCATATCCACTTCAGAAAACTTCACTATGGCGATAGCCAACCCTCTGCTCTGTCTACACCTCCACCCACGTGAACACACAACTATGTCAATTTCACTTTCAATTCAAGTGGATCCTTTCTGCTGCCCAGCAATCACACTACTAGTTCTCTGGTCCATTCATCTCCCACACTCGTATATAACTAGTAGTTCACTCCTTCTTCTTTAGTCTTCAACACTTTCTTTCCCATCCTCACTCTCAATAGATGATTCCTTATCTATTTCACTGAGGAAACAGAAACAATCAGCCGAGAACGTCTACCACTCCATCTCCTACCAAACGGCATCTGTACCCACAAACTTGCTTTTGCTTCTATCATATGAAAGACCCGTTGGTGTTCCAATCTAAGCATCCTCCTCTCCTCCCCCCGCCCCCCACCCAACTAATGAGTTAGGTCCAAGTTCTCTTCTGTCTTCTCAAAGATACCCACTTCAGCAATTCTCCTATGTTCTCTCCTGCATCATCAATTTCTCCCTCTTTACTGAATATTTCCATTAGCACACAAACATGATGTAATTTCTCCCATCTTAAAACAACAAGAACAAAAAACTGCACCACCCAGGCTCTTCTGCCAGCTTTTTCTCTACTTCCCTTTACAGAAAAACTACTTTTAAAAATTGCCTATATTTGCTGTCTCCAATTACTCCCCTCTTTCTCTTGAAACCATTCCATGATGCTAAATCCAATGGTCAGTTCTTTGCTGTCTGCAGCATTTGCAGCCCATCACTTCTTCCTCCCGGAAACACCTTCTCTACTTGGCTTCCAGAATACCACTGTCAGTTCTCTGCCTACCGCATTGCTAACCTCTCAGTCTCTTACTGGTTCCTGTTTATCTTATCAAACTTTGGTGTGGTTAGTCCATAAAATTCACAGTGGGCCTTATTTATACTCACTCCCTAGGTTACATTATCTCAAGTCTTGGCTCTAAATACTATAACATGCTGGTGACACCCTAATCTAACCCTTCAGTTTGTGGAAATCTCCCAATTCCAGATTCACATATTCAACTGCCTTCTGGATATCTCCAGTTGGATGCCTATTAAGCATCTTAACACACATATAAACGAACTTCTCTATCTCCCAAAAACCTGCTGCCCCTACTGTGCTCCATCTCAGTAAATGGTAATTCCATACTTGGAGTGGCTCAGGCCAAAAACCTTGGAGTCATTAACTCCTCTCTTTCTCTCATACCCACTTCCAATCCATCAGCAAATCTCATTGGCTCTACCTTCAAAACGCAACCAGAATCTGCCACTTCTTACTACTTCTGCCTCCACAGACCTGGTCTAAAGCCACCATCACCTCTTGCCCAGATTATAAAAGCAGTTTTCTGACTGGTCTCCTGCTTCTATCCCTGACCATTCTCAACCCAGTAGCCATTATCATCCATTTAAGACTTTAAGTCAGATCAAAATCTTCTTATATTTTACTAAGAATCAAAACCAAAATCCTCACAGTAGCCCAGGAGGGCCTACATGGTCTGGCCCCCATTCTCTGTCTGACCTCATTTCCTATCACTGGAGCCCCTCACTCACTCTGCTCCAGCTTCAATGTTTTCCAAATGTTCCAAACACCCTTGACTGAGGGGCTGTGTACTGCTATCCTCTGTGCTTCAATCCCTCTTCCCTCAGTTAACCAACTGGCTCATTGCCTCTCTTTCCTCAGATACCTGCTCAGAAATCACCTCAGCGATGCCTTCCCTGACTATCCTATTTAAAAGCTATGCCCCACCCCAGCATGCCTATTCTGTTTTATTTTTCTCCAAAGCACTTGTCATGATCTGACCTAAAACTAGAATATAAGCTCCATGAGGAGAGGGGCTTTTTCTCTGTTGTCACTCCTCTATTCTAGAACAGTGCCTGGCATGGGCACTGAAAAAATGATTGCTGAATAAATGAATGACATCTCCTGGACTTGGGAGGGTGCTGTAGCATGGAGGAAAAGATTACTACACAATGAATCAGGAGGTTAGGATTTGTATCTGATTACTAGACTAAGAAATAGAAGCAATTCCCAGCCTTGCTAGTGCACAGTACAACACAATTAGTTAGGGCATTTCACCTCCAAAGTCCTCAGTTTTCTCATCTATAATATGGGAATGAAAACAGGCTTCCTTCAAAGAGCTACACTGTGGATGAAAATGTTATACAAATCTAAAATAGTGTCAAACTTCTGTAACTGGTCACATGTTAAACTATTTAGAATTAATTTAACATTTCTAGACAATAGTTTATTCTCTCTGTAAAACAAAAGGACAACTTGAATTATAACAAAGATTCTAAACTGTCTTTCTCTCTCTAGAGTTTGTGTCTATTATTAATTATACACATTAGTATCCTATAACTCTAACTTCTGGGCATTATGGCTAAAATTATTTTTGCTTTCTATTCTGAGACCTCCTCTCCCTTCTAGTAGGGGGAGATGAGACTTGCCGTCTTGCGATCTTTGACAACTTTGGCTCTGGAATTGTTCTTCCCATAGGTTTTCCTGCAGCCCATAACTAGGCAAAGCTGAGATGGCCTTTCATAGAGGCAGAAATACAAGACAGCTTCCTTAGTCAAGGAAATGAAGTGTCAATAAAATGTCAAGACAGTCCAAAGAGTGTCTACGGAATATGGACCTCACCAAAGCACAGCTGGAAAGAGTGGTATGTGAAGAGGGAAGAGGCATCTTCTCTAAGTTCTACTTTTATTTCAAGTTATATAACAGAAATATAAACATTTCATTTAAGTTAGTTTAGTTCTCCACAGAAATGCCTTAATCATGATTCAAAATGATGGCATCGGTATTAAGAGATAATATAAAAAATGAGGAATGTTTCTCAGTCCCCTACAAACTTGCTTATTATGTTAACCAATGTGATTTATTTTTTACAATATTTTAACAAACTCATTGAATTTATTGCCAAGCGGACAAAGTTATCTCCCGACTAAAGAGTATGCTTCTTATTAACAGATAATGTGAGCTACGCAGCTCATCTTTTTTTTTTTTTTTTTTTTGGCCTGGGTCTCTAGAAGGCTTCAAGCTAAATTAATTCTCAATTTCAATAAACATAATAATCCCATTCTTGATTTTTGGAAGCATAATCTCTCCCTTATTTCAACAGGCCTTCTAATCCCATTTATTTTTATCGTATCCACGATGGCCTCCTGTGCCAAGCACTGCGCCCAGAACATTAAAGAGTCTCAATAACTGCTTCATCATCATCATCATCATCATGTTTTTAAAAATAGCAATCACCATTTACTCAGCACTTAGGTTATGTGCCTTGTCTAAGCTCAAAAGTTCTCAACACCAATCTGTGGGGGAGCTAGGAATGAAGCTGAACAGCCCAAGCCACACACACAAATGCTCTGTCATTCAGCTTTCAGAGTTCCCTTCTCCCTTTTTTAAATGGACAAGATATCAATTACAAATGAAAACTTCCTGAATTATTTCCTTATTCCACCTCTCTCCTTCTAGACTGTCAACTCCTTGAAGGCAGGCAGCTCCCATGATTCACGCTTATCTATAGATCCTGCTCTACATTTAACACCATACCTTGCACACAATCAAGACCCAGTAAATACCTGCTGACTTAGGAAGGCAAAGAACAAATTATAACAGGTAGAAACTGAAGCAAAAACAGGAAACACAGAAAGCAGAAATATTGGTCAGCTAACCGACTAGCTTATTTCCTCTTTTTTATTTTCTCTTGTCAGTTCTTTAATCGTTCTAGAGGCCAAGGCCTTGGGGCAGCCACTCTGCACAGCCCCTTGTGATCCAAGCTCAGGGATCTGCTCCAGGTTGGTTCACCCTTGGTCAAGGGGAAATTAGATGGGAGCAACCAGGCCAGACGAGGCAGGTTGGGCAGAGGGAGGTCTGTGAGCCTGGCCTCGCCCTACATCAGGTCACTGTGCACTGAGTGAGCCCTGCTCCTCTGGTAAGCCCAACCTGCCCTCTTCCCATTGCCCCTCCCCCACCCCATAGGCGGGAACCCCAGACACCCTGCCCTCCCTGGACAGCAGGGGGCGCCTCAGGCACCAGCTCCTCCCCCTGGGTCCTGCGGCTACACTTCCGGTCCGGTCCCTTTAGCCCCTGGCTGGATGCCTTCAGTCCCTGGCCCTGGATAAAAACCAAAGCAGAGGAGAGGGGTGAAGCAGAGGAATCCAACTAGGAGGAGAAGCTGGTCCTGCCCCCTTTCTCGGGCTGCTCCCCAGCTGGCCTCTCTCCGGGAGCCTGAGTCCAGGAAACAGGAAGTGCTTATTCTGAGGACAAGAGACATGGGCCCTGCTGGCTGTGTCTTCCTGCTATCGCTTCTGCTGGGGGTCTCAGGTGAGCCCCTGGGGGTGAGAAGAGTCCTTGGCAGGAGTACAGGCTCCAGCCCAGGAGAAGCTGCACAGGGCGTGGGCTGTGGGCCTCCCCCCGGCACCAAGAATCCATCATGCATGTCTCCCATATTCCCCCTTTTCTCTCACTAGGCACAGAGGAGGAGGAACCAGAGAATCTCTTTAAGTCAAGTAAGGCGCCTCAGCCAGGGGCAGGATGCCTGGGTGGACCAAGGGAACGGAACTCGTGCCAAGGAGGAGAGAGGATACCAGTTTGGGAAATGAGCAGGGAGAGGTGGGAGCAGTGGGGCAGGTTTCTGGGGAAGGTCTCCCAGATCTTTCTCTTCTTTGTCGGCAGTCTGTGGGCGGCCTGCAGTCTCAACTGGCATTGCCTCAGGCATGGAGGCCAACGTGGGGCAGTGGCCCTGGCAGGTCAGCATCCGCCACGGCTTGCTTCACGTCTGTGCGGCCACCCTCATCTCACAGCGGTGGGTGTTGACGGTAGCGAGCTGCTTACGGTGAGTGCTTCCGGGAGACCCACCAGGGGATGAGGGTGACTGGACCTCCTTGGCGAAGGTCAGAGAGCAGTGTTTGTCGCACTGCCCCATACAGTACATTGTGCTGTAGGTCCAAATGTTTCCTGCGCTAGCTCTCAGTTCAATGCAATTACTCTTAGACTTCAGGCTTCTTATTTGACAGTCATCTTGATTGAAACGAGTGCCTAAAAAAGTTACCACACCCCGCCTCCTCCCCACCCCCATCTAAGTCTTTACCCAAGGAGACATTCCCCTCCCTTTACAGCATGCCCACATCTTCACACCACTCTGGATGCACAGTTCTGAGCTCTCTCTTCACTCTCCCTAGGTGACCTTATCCATTCCCATGGTTTAAAATGTAGTATATTTGCTGATAACACCCCCATTTACATCACTAGTCTCAAATTCTAAGTCTGATGCATTCCCATTTGGATATCTCACTGGTATCTCAAAGGTAATGTGATCAAAACAGAACTTTAATTTTACCACCATAAGTATCCCCAAACCTATGTCTATTGTCTGTCTTTCCCGTCTCACTCAACAACAAAACCAGTTGCTCAAGCTATAAATATGAAGCCTTACTTTCCCTCACCCTCCATATCTACTACATACACTAATTCTGTCAGTTTTACTTCCAAAATACATTTTGACTCTAACATACCTGTCCTCGGACCACTGCAATAGTATAATAGATTTTGCTAACTTCATACACATAACAAAGTGATTTTTTCAAAAGTCAGAGGTGAGATCATGTTACTCCCATCTTCAAATCCTCCAGAGGCTGCCCAGGCACCTAGAATAAAACCAAGATGCCCCACTGTGGCCCAAAAACTGTGAATCATCAGATAGCTGCTCATTTTTCCAACCTCATCCCTTTCTACTCCAGGTTTATTTCAACTCCTAGAAACTGCCAAGCTTTCTCACCCTCAGGGCCTTTGCATACTTGACTCCCTTTGTCTGGAACGCTTTTCCTTATAGCTCTCACAGCTGACTCCTACTTCTCAGGACACAGTAGAAAAGTTACCTCTTCTGACTCAGTTGAAAGGCTACCTCTTCAACAAGACTTTCCCTGATCACCCAATCCAAAGACTCTTCCCCTGTCCTCTACTCTCTAACTTAAAATCCTGTTTGTTTTCTTCATAACATTTATCACAATTTAAAATTTTGTACTCGTTTACTTGTTTGTTGTCTCCCCTCCCCTCCCCAACACACACACACAATCCCTTAAGACCAAAAGCCCTGTGAGGGCCAGATCATGTCTAAGTCTCATTTATATTTTCAAGAAGATGCTCAACACTTATTGGAAGGACCAATTGCTTAGAAAGAGAGAGGAAGGAAATGCAGCACCAAAAATTATGGGGCTCTGCTGTGACACTCCACTGACAGAGTCACAAGAAACCCATGATTATCTGTTCTGCTTCTCTTCTTCTCAGGTCTAAGGACACCAGAAAATATGGTGTATTGGTGGGGTCGCTTCAGGTCGTTGGTCGCCCAGACTCCAAAACGACGATAATACCTGTGTCCAGGATTATTCCCCACCCTGAGTTCCAGGAAAACATATCGAGCGCCATCGCTGTGGCGGAACTGGCCTACCCAGTTTCCTTTAGCCCTGTAATCCTGCCCATCTGCCTCCCCTCATCTGGAGTTCAGCTGAAGAACTCAACCTCCTGCTGGGTGATTGGATGGAGCTATTCTGGAATATACCAATGTGAGGATAAGTAGATTTTCTGAGCTCTGTTTCCTCAACTGACATTCTCCCCCCCTTCTCTCTATCCCACCCCTAGCACCAGATATATTGCACTCTCCAGGCAATTAATCTGAGATACCACAGACTTCATATTCTCCTTTACCCTGTACCTTCCCTTTGCCTCCTTCATATTTCTTCTGCTGTACTCTCTTTGCTTATTTATATCTGTTTTTGCTCTTGTTTAGCAATAGTGCCAAGACCTTAAAAGTGAAAAGGACACGGCAATGAACTTAGAGGGTAGTTCTCAGTGTGAGAAGTAATACAGTTCTCCCTCCGCACCTGGGTAGAGTATGTGTGGGTAGGTGGATAGAGGAAGCAGACATGAAGATGTATTCAGGAAAGTAAGACTGCTCAGCAAGTCCCAAGTCAGACTAGGAGAGTAGAGTTTCAATTTTCTATCAATAATCTTGATTCTTCTCAGTATATTAGAACCACTTCTTTATATTCTATGGAATATAAAAATATATTCCAAAGACAAACAACTTCATTCTCCATCATTCATTGTTTTGGATTTTCCTGAATCACAAGACTTTTCTATTATGTGTGGTATCTGAGCAGGGGCAACTGCCTTCAGCCTTGTTCAGACCCAGGGAACTCAGCCTTCAGGCTATTTCCCAAATCAGAAATCAGAAAGCTGCCTAATATGCGGGCAGAATATTTTAAATCAGAGCTATCCCTGAAAATCAGAGGCATGAAATCTATATCCATAGCTAAAATTGCTTCCTAATTTTTTAAGTCACCTTTCACTCTTGAACCTTACAGATAGGAAACCATCTTATACACTCAAGGAACTGAAAGTGCCCCTCACTGATCTCCAGACATGCAGTGACTACTACCAGAAAGAAACCTTGTTGCACAGAGTCAAGCCCAACATCAGTGAAGCCAGGATCTGCTCCAAACTCCCAGAGGAGCAGATGGATCAGTGTATAGTAAGAATCCATCCTATAGGCACCTTTCAGAGCCCCTCCCTTCCCCAGTGTGCTTCCTCCACGTCCCCCAACTTCAGAGTCCCTGGGTGAACCCAGGAGAGCCTGGACAGGCCCTAACTCCACAGTTCTTGGCTCAACTATTGGAGAGTCTCTCCCTTTGCACTGTGCATGGCCTAGCCATCTTTCCTCTCTCCCCCAGGGCAGTAGAGGAGATCCCCTGATGTGTCACGTGGAGGATTTCTGGGTCCTGGCAGGAGTGGTGAGCTGGGGATTAAACTGCATCCGAATCAATGAGCCTCGAGTTTATACAAACATCAGTTTCTACAAATCTTGGATTGAGAAGTCAGCCATCTCGCATACTGACTTTTCTTCTACCCCTTGTCTGGAAGTCTCTGGGCTCCCCCTTGTTATGCTTCTGCCTCTCATTTTCCTGGGCCTACCCTAACCGGCTGAGGTCAGTATGGCCAGGGTAAAGTGGCAATTGAGAATGAGGGTGATAGGGGAAATTCTAGAAGTTGAAGATTTTGAAGAGAGATTTTGAAGATTAAGCACAACAGATGCAGTCCTGTTCCCTCTAGACACAGCCCCTATAAACCTAATCTGCTTGTTGCCTTTCTTCCCCCAGGTCAACTCAGAAAGCAAGATCCTCAGTGTTAATAAAGTTTGGTTGTTTCTAACTATTATTTCTCATATTCACTCTTTTGATGAAACTGGACACCGGGCCCGGACATGGCACTGCTCATCAAACCATGGTGAGGTGGCGTCCCACATGCTACAACTAGAAGGACCCACAACTAAAAATACACAACTATGTACCAGGGGGCTTTGGGGAGAAAAAGAAAAAAAATGAAATCTAAAAAAAATCTAAAAAAACAAAAAACTGACATCTCATTACTTCTGTTGTATTCTATTCTTTAAAAGGGTGTCAACAGGTGTGAATATCAGGAGGCAAGGATCATTGGGGCCATTTTAAAGCCTGCCTTCCATAAGTAGAGTAAGGAAAGTGTCCCATCTAAGGAGGTGAGAGGCTAAGACTGACCATATCTAGCAATTAAATAGAGGCATGCAGGAGTTTAAATAGAGGTATTGGGGGAGAATGCCTTCTGAGTCACCCATTAACCCCTCCCACTGAAAGCACATCATGGTTGTGCTCATAAGTGTTCTGGGGTTAGGAAGGAGTTTATTAGAGAGATTTCCAGCTCACATTATCCTGTGACCAGAAAGTAGCCTGAGAACATATCTCATATAAGAAATGTATGTGAATACCATGTCTTCTCAGACAAGGGAAACAAAAGAAAAAATAAACAAGTGGGAGTTCATCAGACTAATGAGCTTTGGCAAGGCAAAAGAAACTAGGATCAAAACCAAAAGACAAACCACCAAGAGGAAGAAAAGTTCTGTAAATCATTTATCTGATAAGGGGTTAATCTCCATAATATATAAGGAACTCACACAACTGAGTTCAAACAGCCCGATCAAAAAATGGGCAGAGGATATGAACAGACATTTTTCCAAAGATGATATACAGATGGCCAATAAACACATGAAAAGGTGTTCAACACCACTAATCATCACGGAAATGCAAATGAAAACTACACTAAGATACCACCTTACGCCTGTTAAAATGGCTATAACCAGTAAGACTAAAAATAACAAATATTGGAGAGGGTGTGGAGAGAAGGGAACACTCATACAGTGCTGGTAGGACTGCAAACTGGTGCAGTCACTATGGAAAATAGTAGGGAAATTCCTCAAAAAACTAAAAATAGACCATACGACCCAGCTATCTCACTACTGGGGATCTACCCAAACAACTTGAAATCAACAATCCAAAGTAACATATGTCCCGCTATGTTCATCACAGCACTATTCACAATAGCCAAGACATGGAAACTATCCAAGTGCCCATCGACTGATGAATAGATAAAGAAGATGTAGTACATATATACAATGGAATACTACTCAGCCATAAGAAGACAAATTCGTCCCATTCGCAACAACATGGAAAGACCTGGAGGGAACTATGCTTAGCAAAATAAGTGATACTGAGAAAGACAAACACTAGATGATTTCACTCATACATGGAATATAAACAAGCACATGGACAAAGAAAACAGTTCAGTGGTTACCAGGGGAAGTGGGGTTGAGGGTGGATACAAGGGGTGAAGGGGAGCACCTATGTGATGACAGACAAGAAATAATGTACAACTGAAATTTCACAATAATGTAAACTATTATGAACTCAAAAAGACAAGAAAAGAAATGTATGGCTGCTTTATCTCTATCTTTCTCTTGCGCCTCTGTTATACAAAGAGTGGTTAAGAACATGAGATCTGGGGCTGGCCCCGTGGCTGAGTGGTTAAGGTCACGCGCTCGGCTTTGGTGGCCCAAGCTTTCGCCAGTTCAGATGCTGGGCGTGGACGTGGCACCACTCATCAGGCCATGCTGGGGCGGCACCCCACATGCCACACCTAGAGGGACCCACAACTAAAAATACAGAACTACGTACCGTGGGGCTTTGGGGAGAAAAAGGAAAAATAAAATCTTAAAAAAAAAAAAAACAACATGAGATCTGACACTGGCCAGAGCTGGATTAATTTATGGATTTCATAAGATGTTGATTAAAATAATACCAGGATGCTCTGTATTACATGACAAATAGTAGTAAAAAATAATTGGGAGGAGTTTTGGCAAGACAGTGGAATGAACACAGCAAAGTAAACATCCCTTGCTCAAATTTCATTAAATACCAATAAAATCAGTGTTTGAAAATGAAAATTTCCATTAATAACTGCAGAGATATTTACATAAAAATAAGTAAATTAAATCTGGGCCATTAAAAAGCTTTCCATACACATGAAGAAAATAGCAAGAATCTTGAAAAAAACTAATTCCTCAAATACAAAAATCATACAAAGTATAAGCAAGATTCAAAGAATGATTACAATTTATTCTCAAAGGGACACTGTTTATGTTACTAAATCTCAGGGGTTTTTTTTAGATGACAGCACTGCAAAATTGCAAGTAAGGCATAATTGGCAGTGTGGACAATGCTTCAGCAAAAGAAAAGATAAACTCACTAAATATGTAGGATTCTAAATAAGTAAAAAAGACAAAAGAATGTGAGAGAAGATGATGGATCTAGACACTACAGCCAAGAAATCCAACAAGGAGACAGAAGCAGGATTGAGAATCTTAAAATCGCTGGAAGGAACCTTACAAGTTATCTGATACAACTCAACTCAAGGCGTAAGTTTGCTTGTTTAACAGACCCAGTGGATGATCCTTACATTTCTTGATAAAGCAGCACTGGAAAAGTAACTGTTGGGAATGGGGGAATGGGAACTATTTTCACTACACAGCACTGTCACACCCTTGCCCACCAGAATCCTCTAAAACTGAAACTTAACAAATAAAATATACAAATAATGGATGAGATGGAGTGAGATAGTCATCCGTAGAAAGAACGCAAAAAATTTCAGTAAATACATGCCTTACGTGTTTTAGTAATAAGCTAAACTTGGAAATTCGGGTATAATCTCAAAGCAACATACCAGGAATGAGATCACACCTGAGAAAGCATAAATTTAATCAACAGTCTTATGCACCAACTGAAGAAAAACAGTATTAGGAAGCGGATGGTCAGCACGGAATCTAAGAAAGCAAAAGCCAGGTAACTATACGAGTTCATCAGACCCTAGACTGTTAAGGGAGAGAGAAACTTTGCATTTATTTAGAAAAATACGTTGTTATGAAGAAGTGCTCTTTCACCTAGTTTTTGTAAAGAAGGCATATTTCATCCTAGTAAGTGAAATGCTCATGGATATTAGCCACTCCATTTGTTCTGATCCAAAGCCTCTTCAAACTACTAATTCGGTTTCCCTACTCAGATCAAGAAGGCGTGCGCCCTGGTTGGGAAAAATGAAAATTCCAAATAATGGAAATGAAGAGTCCTCTTTGCAAATAAACGTTCTGGTTCATATACAAGTCTCCTAAGATTTAGTGAGTCCGTCTCTTGAATCTGATCTATTCTAGATGCTCTGACAAGCCCTGAATTTCAGAAGCTAAAAAGCTAAGGGCCCAGGGGCTGACCCTGTGGCTAAGTGGTTAAGTTCGCGCTCCACTTCGGCGGCCCAGGGTTTCGCCAGTTCACATCGTGGGCGTGGACATGGCACTGCTCATCAAGCCATGCTGAGGCGGCATCCCACATGACACAACTAGAGGGACCCACAACTAAAAATATACAACTATGTACTGGGGGGCCTTGGGAAGAAGAAGGAAAAATAAAATCTTAAAAACAAAAAAAAGCTAAGGGCCCAGAGCCTAGATTGAGATGACTTGAGCCAAGTCATGTTGCCTGTGAAAGATCCTAAGTGGATTCTCTGGGTGACATGACATCTTTATCTCATCTCTAACTATGGCAGGAATTTATATTTTACTTTATGCCCCCTCTGTATTAGTTACTATGTTGGTCACTTTAAATATTATCTTATTTAGTCCTAACAACTCAAGAAGGTATTAGTTACCCTACCTTTACAAATGAAAGCAAACACACAAAACAACTGAGGCTCAGAGAAGTTAAGTAACTTGCCTATGATTACACAGGTAATATTTGATTAAACAGATTTATCCAGGACTGTCTGACTCAAAAGATTTGGTTCTTTCCACTATATCAAATTACCTCCATTCATTGTTAGAGAACTCTATTACAGTCCTCAGCTTCCTTATACAATGCCAAAACAACATCTGCCCTTTGGTTCCAGTTATTTGTACCTTTTACACTCCTAGTCTCCATTTATAATAAATTTGGGTGCACACAGCTTTACTTCTCCCTCTGAATAGGTAAAAACAGGCATGAGAAGAGAACCTGTTGTCCTACTCATCTTGACCTTCTAGCAGCATCTAGTATAGTGTCCTGCAAACAGAGTATCAAACCTTATTTTCTAAATAACAAAATGAGAGCTATAGACTATAGAAAGTCAGCTGTCAAAACTACAAGGAAGAATTCCTTCACTATGAGTTTAAGTGAATAAATGTAAGATGGGAAATATTTTTTCTTTTAGTGATCAAAAGATCAAGACCAACTTCTGCAAAGGGGGATTGGTTAAAGGGCAGTAGGGGCCCTGGGCAAGTAAGATGCTCAGAGCAGGATCAGTCCCTGTGGAGAAGGTGAGTGCAGGCAAGGGAAACCATACACTGGCCAACAAGGCAAAGAGCTGGGATGAAGAAGGTTGTCTCTAAAAGGTTGTCCAGAATTTGGCCCTGACATAATGGATGCCAAGGATATGAACTAGTTCCAGGACACACTGGTTAGTGGAACCAAAGCTAGACTAAAAATTTCTTGTCCAAGAACTAAGACCAAATTGAATCTTTTAATAGAGGGCATACGTGTTTATTGCTGCAAGGTGACAGAAAAGACAAAAGCCAGGGCCTGATACACATGTGCTAGAGAAATCAGCTATTCTTTAGGAGATTGTTTTATAGGGAATTTATTCATTTCCAATACAATAGATTAATCTAATGGGCTGAATTAGAAAAAAGGCAATGGAATCCATTTGCCCTTCCTGGAAATACAGATAAAACGCCACAAAACTTGCAAATCTACTGTTGTCCCTGTTTTAGTCTCAGCATGCTCAAGAGAACATTGCATCCCTGAAGTGGTATCCTTGCTCTACAGCAGTGGTTCTCAACGGTGATTCTGCCCCCCAGGGGACATCTGGCAATGTCTGGAGACATTTTGGTTGGCACAACTGAGCGTAGGTAGTACTCCTGGCATCTAGGAGGTAAAGGCTAGAATTGCTTCTTAACATCCTGTAACACACAGGACAGCCCCCCAAAACAAAGAATCACCTGGACCAAACTGTCAACAGTGCCAAGGTTGAGAAATGCTGGTCTATAGGCACCATCAACATCAAATTTAAGCCATCATCAAGATGACCTGTTTGCCCAGAATTAAGTTGATATCTAAAACTGGGATATTAGTTCAACAACTACAATAATAAAAACAGCAGCTATTATTTATTATTGCACGCTTAAATAGGCCAAACCCAAGCTAAGTACTTGCTGTATAATTCTTGCAAAGATCTTGTAGGGCATTATTATTCTCATTTTGCGAAGATAGAAAGGTTATAACTTGGCCACAGCCACATTATAAGTAATAAAGCTCTTAACACCACCACCACAGTGCCACTCTCCAAACCAACAATTATTTGTACAGCAGGGGTATTTATAGATTAACTTTAATGATAACAGGGTAATGACCTGGGAACAGAGAATCTACAACCTGGAGACAAAGCATGATGAGAGAGGCAGAAAGCTAAAAGAGCTGTCTTCAGGAAAGTCCCTGGAGTGACCATGAAGCACCTACTGTCTTGCTTTCAACTCCTTGGCATTTCCTTATCTTAGAAGAAGCAAGCGAGCAGTAAAATGGCAGAACCAACATTGCTAAACCAAAAAGAAGAAAAATATTTGTAGGGGAATGTTCTTTGAGATCATCAACTCATTCCAATGCCTTTATGGTACAACAGGAAAATACAGACCTTAGGGAAAAGGTGACTTAAGGTTATACAACCCACCTCTTTGAAAACAACAGAATAGCACTGTTTTGTGGGCTGAAAACCAGAGGAGATTTCTCCAATATGATAAAAGAGTTTAGCTTAGATTTAAAAAGGACTCATAGGTTCCAACTCTCTCTTTAAAAATGGACATTTTCTTACATAGCTCAATGTCATTATCACACCTATCAAGATTAACAATAACTCCTTCATACCATCTAATCCCCAATTCATTGTCAAACCTCCTTGATTGTATCAAAATGTCTTTTTAGAATTGGTTTGTCAAATCAGGATCCAAACAAGGAGCATACCCACTTATGTCTCTTAAATTTCTTTTCAACTAGAGGAGTTTCCCTCTCTTTTTACCCTCACACCATTGACTTATTATAGAAACCAGGTCAGTTGTTTTATAAAATGTCCCACATTCTGGATTTGACTGTTAACTTCCTCATGTTGTAATTTAACTTAACTCCTTTATCCCCTGTATTTGCTGTAAGTGGAAGTAGCTTCAGAGATTCAGGTTTCATTTTTTTTACAAGAATACTTCATTGGATATTGCTTCATACTATGTCATATCAGGAGGCACATGTCTGCCTTATCCTACTTTTCATGATGCTAAGATTGATCACAGGGTTCAAATAGCTACAGCCTGAGCACTCCATCAAACTTTCATCTAAAGCTTTCAACTATTAATAATCGTTCCTTGAATTAATTATCTCTTGAGGGCCTACATGTGGTGGTTTTCAAATTCTATCAGTCCAACCACATTTATTAGCTGGAATTCTTCCCTCATTAACTAAACTCATTTTTTTACTCTGAATGACAATCTGGACAAGAAAAGCAAGACAACTATTTAATTTGTTCCTTTTACTTCTCATTTTCAGCGTAAGGAGCTGGTGTCTTAGTTACCTCCAATAAAGCTTATTTCCAACTAAATTGAAACCAATACCAAAAACATATTTTTATAAAGCATTTAAACAAAAGAGAAAAGAAGAGATTCTGTGAGCAATCTAACCAATATGTAAAGAGTATTAATCAGCAACTTCAGATTTGTCCAGGAATACAGAAGTCCAAGGATCTAGGACAACCACAAGACCTTCACAGGGAAAGGAGTGTCTAGCAAATTTCCGTTCCTTTGATAAATCAACAGAAAGACCTCTACAGAGCTTTGATATCTTTGCAAAATGACTACCTTTACTCCAAACATGACTTGAAGGCACATCTCAAATTTGAGATGAGGTCTGACTTTTTAAAAATCTATACTTAAATGAGTTGACCGAATAGTTAAAATTGCCTGTAAGTACCATAAATTAATTGGAATGCCCACATAGATGGTTGCGATATGAATAGGAAATCTTTTTCTTCAATTAAATGAGCAGGATAAAATTGGAGACTGCAATATTAATTTCAGAAAAAATCAAGTTGAAAAGTACTAAGAGAGTCATTACATAATGATAAAAAGCACAGAGAGTGATAGATACATAATCAGAATGAATATATAAACCACTTGCACAAAAACAGGATGCATAAAACAAGAACTGTTAAAAATATATAGAGGAACTAACATAAATGTAATAGTAGGAGATTTTCATCTCCATCGAGCAGATACAAATAGAAGACAAGAGGATCTGAAAAACACAGGCAAAAATTCATAGTTGGGGCAGTCAGTAAATAAGTAACAGAAAATTAACTTTTTTCAAGTGTTCACTTCTAAAATCTTAAAAAAATGTGTTTAAAGAGGTAGACATCTTACTGCACTGAGATATAGCAAATCTGGCATCTGTCCCACTACAACAGTCTCTGCTGCTTAGCTGGCCATATTTTTGCATCCTCATCTTTCCTGCTTCCTGCATAACGGCACTTACTCCAAAGACAATTAGTCCATAGCCGTGAACCTGTGGCCTGGTAAGAAAAGATGATCTGTCCAAATTCTTGGGAATCCGAACGGAAAATGAGGAAAAACTTGAGGCATTTATGGTAGGATAGAAAGAAACGACATGAACTGTGGTTGAGCCATATTAATGGCAAAGGACCAGAATGAAGATCCTGAACTCCTGCTATGAGCTCTTTTGAGCCATCATGAATCCTGAGATCCCTTCCAGCTCTGGTCTCCCACTCTGGTCTCCAAGTCTGTCCTATGATAGCTCCAGATGTCCTTGTTACTCTGTTCTCCTCACTGTTCCATAGATATCTGTATACGTTTGCTAGGGCTGTCATAACAAACCACAGACGGAGTGGCTTAAAGAACAGAAATTTGTTTTCTCACAGTTCTAGGGGTGAGAAGTCTGATATCAAGGTGTCAGCAGGGTTGGTTCCTCCTGAGGGAAGTGAAGGAAGGATCTATTCCAGGCCTCTGCGCCTTGTAGAAAGCCGTCTTCTCCCTCTGTATGAGTCTGTGTCCACATTTTCTCTTTCTATAAGGACACCAGTCATACTGGATTAAGGCCCACCCTCAGTGACCTAATTTTATCTTAATTGCATCTTTAAAGACATTATCTCCAAACATGGTCATAATCTTTTCTTTTTTTCCTGCTTTTTACTCCCCAAATCCCCCCCGTACATAGTTGTATATTTTTAGTTGTGGGTCCTTCTAGTTGTGGCACGTGGGACGCCGCCTCAACATGGCCTAACGAGTGGTGCCGTGTCCGTGCCTAGGATCCGAACCCTGGGCTGCCAAAGTGGAGTGTGTGAACTTAACCACTCAGCCACGGGGCTGGCCCCATGGTCATATTCTGATCAGCACTTCAATGTATAAATTCTTTGGGAGACACATTTGAGCCCATAACAATATGTTTAAGATAATCCCCTCTTTGCTTAAGCTAGTTTAAGTGGGACTCTGTTGCTTATAACTGAATAAACCTTACCAAAATAGCTACATTGTCTGGTCTTCTATTATTTTTTAATTAATCATATGTTTCTTCCAAACCTCTCAATATTTTAAGCTATAAGAGAGCGATAACATGCTTTAACAGTTTACTGAATTCTGCCTCCACAGACCTAGAACCCTACAAACAATTGATACAGAAAACACAAAAGGCACAGGGAAGAAGTCTGTAGCTGATGCTGTGCTGCACCACCCAGACCCCCTTTCAGGACTGAAGCATTCATTCTCCTAGCAACCAGCAGTGGTGGCTGCTAACAGTTCACAGCTAAGCCCTATGCCAAGAATTGCCAACAGAGCTACCTCATAACAGGTAATGCTCCCTCCTAGGAGGCAGCCTACATCCAATCATGCAAAAGGTCAAAGGCCCAGCCTTCTTATCTCAGTTCAGGACATCTCTGAAGGGCCACCCCAGCTCCAGAGCAATTTGTAGGACTGGCTGAGGCCTCTGTTGCAAATATATTACAGTCTAATTCTCCCTCTGCCAATCCTGCTTCCATCCCCTCTTGAAGCAGTGATCCTGAGACCACTCCCCAATAAACTTCTTGCATACAAATCTCTGTCTTAGAGTCTATTCCCTGGAAAATCTGACTTGTAATATTCTATGGCTAACACTGTAATGAAGATGAAAACAAAAAACTGAGGAAAAATTAGCCAGGTACTGGATTTATTTCCTCTTTTCCATTTCTTGCTTTTGAAGAATCCTGTCCACCTCCTGCTTCCTTGCTAGAGGAGACAGAGTCCTGTTCCTTCCAGTGCCCTCCAATCTGCTCCAGGCAGGCAGCTACTGCCCTCACCCCTCCTACCTCCCCTCCTCCACCCAACAGGCAGGAACCCCAGACACTCTGTCCTCCCTGGACAGCAGGGGGCACCTCAGGCACCAGCTCCTCCCCCTGGGTCCTGCAGCTGCACTTCTGAAGTGCCATCCCTTCAGTGCCTGGCCCTAGGTAAAAAACAAAGGATAGGAACGGGGTGAAGCAGAGGAATCCAAACAGGAGGAGAAGCTGGTCCTGTCCCCCTTCTCTGGCTGCTCCCCAGCTGGCCCCTCTCTGGGAGCCTGAGTCCAGGAAACAGGAAGCGCTGATTCTGAGGACAGAGACATGGGCCCTGCTGGCTGTGCCTTTCTACTATCCCTTCTGCCAGGTAAGTCCCTGAGGTGCAGTGCGGAAGGGACAGGCATAGGGTTTTGGGCTCAATAAGTTATCATATAGAATAATACGACACTTCACCCACGGGATGTTACTGTTGAATAGCGCGCCCTGAGAAAGTCCTGAGAGGATACTATATGCCTGGCACCATTCCAAGGCTCTTGGATGTAGCAGGAACCAAAACAAAGATCTGTACCCTCATGGGGCTTATAATCAATGCACATATTAAATATGTAAATCATCAAGCATGTTAGAAAGAAATATTGTGAAAGGAAAGAGGCATCTAGAATGCAGGGGCAGGAGGCATATTGTAATTTTAAATAGGGTAGTCAAAGAGGGTTTCAGTAAGGAGTCATTTGAGCAAAGACTTGAAGGAGATGACTGATTTAGCTAAGAGAATCTAGGAAAAAAGCATTTCAAGCAGTGGGAACTCAAAGTACAAACACTATTCAATGATTTCAGGCACAAGCTTGTTCATTTATTTTTCTTGCTCACAGTCATTTATAAGCAGAGTAGGCTGAGAGTAGCAAAAAGATAGCAGGGACCAAAAAAAGATATACAAGTACTACAAAATGTCAATTCAGTTAAAGAAAACAGGACAAAAGTAAGCAGCTTATAAACCTCTAAAACATCTGAAAGCATCATTGGATTTACAACCTACATACTTGATAGTCCTGATGACAACCTTGAATCATCAAGTAAAAGATTATGTTCCATGTATGCTGCTAAAGAAGGCAGGTAAGTATGTAATTATCAAGATCCCTGATGCGGGATCAGTGAGCCGAGGAGTCGAAAGAAAGATTTCTTAGACTCTCAAGATCTGGCAGTAGTGCTCTTTTATTTAGAGAATAGTGTGGAATAGCATGGGGACAGGACCCATGGGCAGGCAGAGCTTCTGCTGCTGCCCCCACTGGCATGGGGACAGGACCCATGGGCAGGCAGAGCTGGTGCGTGGGGACAGGACCCACAGGCAGTCAGAGCTCCTGCTGCTGCTGCTTCTGCTGCCCCCGCTGGCATGGGGACAGGACCCATGGGCAAGCAGAGCTGGTGCATGGGGACAGGACCCACGGGCAGTCAGAGCTCCTGCTGCTGCTGCTTCTGCTGCCCCCGCTGGCATGGGGACAGGACCTATGGGCAAGCAGAGCTGGTGCATGGGGACAGGACCCACGGGCAGTTAGAGCTCCTGCTGCTGCCCCCGCTGGCATGGGGACAGGTCCCATGGGCAGGCAGAGCTGGTGTGTGGGGACAAGACCCACGGGCAGTCAGAGCTCCTGCTGCTGCCCCCGCTGGCATGGGGACAGGTCCCATGGGCAGGCAGAGCTAGTGTGTGGGGACAAGACCCACAGGCAGTCAGAGCTCCTGCTGCTGCCGCATGGGGACAGGACCCACGGGCAGTCAGAGCTCCTGCTGCTGCCCCCGCTGGCATGGGGACAAGACCCATGGGCAGGCAGAGCTGGTGCGTGGGGACAAGACCCACGGGCAGTCAGAGCTCCTGCTGCTGCCCCCGCTGGCATGGGGACAAGACCCATGGGCAGGCAGAGCTGGTGCGTGGGGACAAGACCCACGGGCAGTCAGAGCTCCTGCTGCTGCCCCGAGTTGAGGGTTAGGGCTAATTTTATAAGGCATGGGTACGTGACTTATTTTTACTGGAAAAAAAGAAAAGATGATGTAAAAAGTCATTAAATGATTTCAGTGCAGATGGGGTCTGGTTATAGTGCGGTCATATAACTTTAGATACGAATCTGGCCATATAGATCGGCATGCAGGTGAGGATGCCCCGGGCTTCTCTCCCTGGGGCAGTCCTAATTCATACCATAAAAAAAAGTCCACTGGGTCATATAGTTTGGCATGTAGGCCAGGTCACCTTGGGCTTCTCTAGCTGGGGCAGCCTTAATCCACATCAATCCCCACTAACGGGTAGACATTTATAAAAATTTGGCCTTTAACATCAACCTGAGACATTTCAATATATGGAAAGCCTCTCTGTTCAGTGAATCTAGATATAAGATGTGTCATTATACTTTAATGATACGGTATGTCTATCTTAGGGTCTTGCCCATGTTCTTCTCCCAAAAAGAAAGATCTGCCAGGTGAGTGGTCTCCACTTAGGCCCAAGACTACTGGGTTTAGAACTGGAATAGGATGGAGTATGGAGGCTAGGGAGGACTCAGGTCCTAGGAATGGATGGGAGTTTGGGGATGATGAGAAGATGGAACCAGAGGAACAGGACACACAGATTTCCACACTTCCCTCTCTCCTCTTTCTCTAGTGTGTGGACACACTGTATCCTGGAGCCTTGTTGTGGGTGGCCAGGATGCTGTTGCAGGGCACTGGCCTTGGCAGGTCAGCTTGCACTTGGGCCATCCACATCTGTGGAGATTCCCTCATCAGTGTGAGGTGGATACTGACAGCAGCACACTACATGCAATGATGAATTCTAGCTGGTGGCTAGCACAAAGATAGGTTCTCAATAAATACTTGAATGATTTCATGAATGAATCAACAGACAAATCAAAGTGGTAAGATGGGTAGGCAGAAGGAAACTCTAGGTCACCTTGGACTAGGGACAGGGCGTAGAGGTAGAAAAAGAAATGATGATCTCAAGATAGGCACTATATTAGAAACTTTTCTTACTTTTTGCCAAATCACTTCCTAAACGCCAGTCAGGGAATTTTGTCTTAAGCTTTTTTGGGGTCACAATCTGAGCTCTCTCTCAGAGCTATTGCTGTGAGAGAAGGTGCCATGTGGTGAGTAGCCTTAGGGAGAGGCCCATATAAAACTGACGTCTCCAGCCAACAGCTAGTGAAGACTCAGAGCCTGCCAATATAAGTGAGTTTGGAAACAGATGCTTCCAGAGTCAAGCTTTGAGATGACTGCAGCCCACCTTGATTGCAGCCTCTTGAGAGACCTTGAGTCAGAGGCATTCATCTAAGTCACACCTGATTCCTGACCCACAGAAACTGTGAGATAAATGTATGTTGTTTAAGCCTCAAAGCTTTTGGATAACTCGCTATGCAACAACAGATAACTAACATATACAGAAATCAAAATGATAGGACTTTTCAATAACAACACCGAAAGCTCAAAGAAAATACAGTAAGAACTTTAAAATGCTGAGGGAAAATTACTTCCAGACTAGAATTCTACCCATATACAAACTATCAATCAAGTGTGGGATAGAATTAACACATTTTCAAATTTACAAAGCAGTAAAAATATTACCTCTTATGCACATTTTCTCAGGAAGCATAGGAGAATGTGCTTCACCAAAATGGGGGGGGGAGGGGGCAGGAAAACATGAGATCCAGAAAAAAAAGAGATAGAACACAGAAGAGAATCCCCAGGAAAATCATCAAGAAAAGTGCCAAGATTGGAGCAAGAGGACAGAGGTCTCCAGAAAAGATACTATGTATGGGTTGAATGCCTGAGAATATTCAACACTGAGAGATTTACACTTCTGGCAGAGAGTTTGAGGAATGATGAATTAGTAATAGATATACAGAAAACTAAGAAAACAAAGAAGGGAGAACACATTATTAACTCCAGGAGAAGCAGAAAGTTTTACAAGAAATGTAATCACAGTACCCAATATGGCCCAGTAGCAAATAATGTTTACATAGTCACAAGAACATACACTTTAAGTACTGATCCAACAAAAGTTGTACTACTAGGATAAGAGGATGGTGAAAAGGAAGTGGAGGGTTGGCAGCGATTGTTGGGTCAATCCTCACCTTCTACAGTAAAAATACAATATTCTAAAACTGAAAGAAAAAAATTTTAATAGCAATATTTAGGGTTTTTTGAAAATACCAGGGAAAATACTAAAAGAAAGAGCTAAGAATTGAAAGATATTGCCTTTGGATAGTGTGAACTGAGGGCAATAAGGCAGAGAACTTCTGTTTTTTATTTATTTATTTTGTATATCTTATCAAACTACTTGACAATTTAAATAGTATATATATATATGAACTTTTACATATGTGTGTATATATACATAAAAAAACTTAAGTGGTTATACTTTGCTTTAAATTTTTATTCAGAAATAAAGTATGTGCTGAGAAACAAAAACTGGCAATTAAGCATTACAGGTGATGGCTGAAATCATGGAGAATGGGAGAGGAGAATAAGAGAATTAGGGAGAAAATGCAGGACAAAACTCTGGCTATCAGCATTTAAGAGTAGACCATAGAAACAGTGGACAACAGAAGAAAGAGTGATCAGGGAGGGAAGGAGAAAAGGAGACAAACCAACTCCAGTCCAAGTTGGAAGCAGTCTGGTTAATTCCAAATCTGTTACCCTCCTTTCTTGCCTTGAGACTTAGTGCTACACATAGGCAGCTTGTTCTGATCCAGCTGTAGCACATAAGCATGTTCCACTTTTATTCTCCTCTTTTTCTTCTCCTTAGGACCTGGATTCCTTGGTTACACACTGTCTGGCTGGAATTGATTAAAATAGGCAATTCACATAAAGGGATAAAGCATCATGTGTCCAAAATCATCATCCATCCCAAATTCCAAAATACAACTGCAGACATCGCCTTCTTGAAACTGGTCTCTAGAGTCACCTTCACTTCTTTCATCCTGCCCATCTGCTTGCCCAGTATCACAAAGCAGTTAACAGTTCCAGGCTCTTGCTGGGTGATTGGACGGGGAAAAGTTAAGGAAAGTGAAGGTGAGAATGGGTAGACAAGGGGATCGTTTTATATGTCATCCTCTTGTACCCACTCCAGAACATTCACATTTTAGGCATGTCATTACTATGGCAAATATTTTTCAACAAAACCAGATCAACCTATCAACCTTTGATATTTTCTATAAGTCTTCAAATAAAATGTCTTCTTTCACACTCATATGTTTATTTTATTTATTCATATCCTGCCTAGAGTCTATAGCTGCAAGAGCAGATACTAACAATTTAAACACATAATTACCTCTCTGAAACAGAGATTAACAAATCTGATTTAAAGTATAGAGAGAGTCTAGTATTTTTTTTTTTTTTTTGAGAAAGATTAGCCCTGAGCTAATATCTGCTGCCAATCCTCCTCTTTTTGCTGAGGAAGACTGGCTCTGAGCTAACGTCCAGGCCCATCTTCCTCTACTTTATATGTGAGACGCCGACCACAGCATGGCGTGCCAAGAGGTGCCATGTCTACACCTGGGATCCGAACCGCAAACCCCGGGCCGCCAACGCAGAATGTGCAAACTTAACCGCTGTGCCACCGGGCTGGCCCCTAGCATTTTTTAAAATGTATTTTTAAAGTGTTGTGTTAACTCTTTCCCAAGATGGAGTAAAGACAAGACAGGAAATGAACTGGGAGCAGAAAAATGGGAAAGCAAGAAGTTTTAGAATGCTTCAGAATACCCACATCTTTACCTAATCAAAATGCATCAGAATTCCTTCTTGTTTAGAACATTGGGAATACCCCACATTAGCACATTAGAAAAACCTCACATACAGAAATTACTTTGAATTATCCGGTGTTTTAGATTAGCTGTACCCCAAAAATTCTTTCATTAGCAAAAATGACTGGAAAGTGATTGTGTTTTTAGATTCCCATTCAGAGATTTCTGCACACCATGACTGAATGTTGCCCCTACCCCTTTCCAGATTGCTTTTCCTTTCATTCCTCTCTTTCTCTACAGATACTGATACCATTCCAACCTCCAGGAAGCAGAAATGCTCATCACTGACTGCCAGGCTTGGGAACAACGCTACAACCCAATAGGTTTCTTATTGCCAGAATTAGAGCAGGTCATCAAAGAAGACAGGATTTGTCCTGGTGATACTCATAAAATGAAGGATGGTTGCAAGGTTCGAGTTGGCTCCTGAAATTTTTTCTTTAACATGAGATCTTAATTTGGATCCAGGTTTTCCTAACTGTAAACAACAGTGGATTAGAAATCAGTAGACAAGGGTTCTGACAATAATTCTTGTGTTACCCTGAAGTCACTTAACCTTTATCTATGAATTTAATCTCTTCAACTGTTGATCTAAAGCAATGCTAACCATTGGTCATTAGGTTTTCACAGACTTGTTCACTTTTATAAATATATTAAAAGGTTGACACAGAATTAACTTTTATATTTTTTCAAGTAAGAATATTTCATTCTACAGTTGAGATCTCATTCTATTGTCTACTGATCGTAACTGTCTGATGAAAAATCAACCACGATTTGTGTCTTCCTCTGTTGAGTGTGATGGGTTGTTTTGCTCTGCCTGCTTTCTATGTATTTTCTTTCATATTTGATTGTCAGAAGTTTGAATGTGATGAGCTAGGTGTGATGTTCTTTGTATTTATCCTATTTGGAATTCATTGAATTTTTGTGTTTTTAATCTAGTCTTTTATCTTTCACCAAAACTTGAGAAAATTTCATTTGATTTCTTCAAATATTATTCTGCCTCATTTCTCTCTTCTCCTGTTCTAGTCGAGCCCAGAAATGAATAAGTTATACCTTTTGATATTTTCACCCAGGTCCCAGATACTCTGTTCATTTTATTTTTACCTTTTTCTGTTCTTCAAATTGGATCATTTTAAATTAGTCTATATTCAAGATCATTGCCTCTTTCTCTTGTCAGCTACATTTGACTGTTAAGTTCATTTAAAGAAATTTTTATTTCAGATTTGTTTTAGTTCTAGAATGACCATTTGGTTTTATTCTACCCCACACACACATGCTATGTTTCTATATATCTGCCACGACTTCCCATCTGGATATTCAGTATTTGGCAATCAAACAACAGTGAGACACAGCTTCACACCCAGTGGGATACTAGAATCAAGATAAATAATAACAAGAGCTGACAAGGATGTGGAGAAATTGGAAACTTCATATACCTAGTGGGAATGTAAAATGATGCAGGCACTTTGGAAAACTGTCTAGTAGATTCTCCAAATGTTAAATATAGAGTTACTATATGACACAGGAATCCCACCCCTAGGTATATACCCAAGAGAAATGAAAACCTAAGTCAATAAGAAATTTGCTGAATGTTCATGAATGTTCATAGCAGCATTATTCATAATAGCCAAAAAATGTCCACCAATTGTTGATCAGATAAACAAAATATGGTATATCCATATAATGGCATATTATTTGGCCATAAAAAAGAGTAGAGTACTGATAAATGCCACGCCATGGGTGAACCTTGGAAAAAAGTATGCTAAGTGAAAGAAGCCAAACACAAAAGGTCACATATTATATGATTCCACTTATATAAAATTTCCAGAATATGCAAATCCACAGAGGCAGAAAGTAGATTACCACTTGGCCGAGGGCTGGGAGGGTTGGAAGGAAATGAGGGTGACTGCTAATGGGTACAAGGTTTCTTTTGAGGGTGATGAAAATGTGCTAAAACAGATTGTGGTGATGGTTGAACAGTGTGAGTATACTAAATACCATTGAATTGTACACTTTAAATGGGTGAATTGTGTAGTATGTGAATTATATTTCAATAAAGCTCTTACAAAAAGAAAGAGACAGCAAGATTGAGAGACATACCACAACTACTATCACTATCATTTTATATAATAAAGGATTATTTTAACACTAAAAAAAGGCAATAGAAACCTAAGAATAGAAAAATAAGGATAGTTTATTCAATTAAATAAATTGAGAGGAAAAACTCACCCCATTAATTTCTCTTTTTTATTAAAGATGATTATTTTCAAACTATTGATATATCTAGCTAAGGTCTCTGCCAATTTCAAATTCTGATTCTAGAATTCCCATGATCTCCCCCTCATGAAGTCGGAAATCCCACTCCAGAGTTCTGGAGCTCCATGGGGACCACTGTCCCGTTCTAAGGAGCTCTCTACCTCTTATGACTACTCTCCTCTTCATGGTGCCTTTTCACTATGCTCACGATCTTTATCTCCTCCTTAGGGTGATTCTGGAGGGCCTCTGTCATGTCATATTAATGGTGTACGGATCCAGATTGGATTGGTAAACTGGGGAATAAGATGTGGTAAATCTCTGCCTGGAGTATACACCAATGTGATCTACTACCAAAAATGGATTAACACCACTATCTCAAGAGCTGAGATCTTGAGTGCCAACAATCTGGACTTATCTGACTTCTTGTTCCCTATTGTATGGCTCTCTCTGGCTCTCCTGGGACCCTCCTGTGCCTTCGGGCCTAACATTTTATCGGGAGAGTAGTCAGTATAGCTGAAGCCACTGGCCAAGTACAGGGCTAGGAAGGGAATGCATGGAGAATAAGCCCCAGGTGCAGAGAACTCAAAGGACAGTCACTGGGACTCTGGATGACTTCATTAAAATAATTAGAAATTATTTTGGTTTTATGGTTCTTGATTCTGGAAGTATGTTTCAGTGGTTGGAAAGTGAACAGCTGAGAAATAAGGCGCCATTTCTGTGCATGACATTCTTTGTTCCCGACTATGCACCTTGCAAGGCAGGAAGCATGCCTTCTATAAATACTTATTTATAGACACAAATTAAATGGCTACTGGAGAAGCAGACAAGAAAAAAGTATTGGGGAAGGCCAAAGAGAAGGTCCTAAGAAAGGTCCTATAACGGTTTACTTCACACCCATGGGTTGCATGATGGGCTTCTTACCTGATCCATGTTTCTCATCTCCTCTACTATCCTACACTTCCCCTTTAGGGATAGCAAGGGGTTGAATGAGAAATGCATATATGTAGTTCAACTCTGAATTTTTCTGACATTTTTACTTTTTGAAATACCAATGTGAACTACTACCAAAAATGGATTAATGCTATGATCTCTAGTTCCAAGGTCTTAGGTTTCAATAATCTGGATCTATCCGGGTTGTTTAACATCACTTCTATAACAAAGTACTTTAAATGTTTATAAGGAAAAGACTAGCCTTTGCTTAACCAGCATACTTCTTTTTGTTAAACAGTCACATGACCTATCCTATTTCCTTCTCTGCCTAAGCTTCCAGGAGCTCAGAGCAAAGTTTTATACTCCATTTCAGTTACTATCTTTATCCTAGATTACGTAATTTAATTCCACTCATACCCCCTTTTATTTAAATCATCCTCCATTTCATATTTGCTTGAACTTAAGTTTTATTGCATCTGTACTTTTTATGGTAAGTTAACTTTCAAAAGTAATTTTTTGCAGAAATAAATACATTTAATAGGAGGTGAGGGTAGGTTTGGAAGCTTAAAATCCTTGCTGACCCTTAACCTCACTCTCATCTGGACTGCCACTATAGCCTCCTAAATGGCATTCCCAGGTCCTTTCCCTTGGTTAGACCTATGCTCAACTCCATTTATTCTCCACAGCATTCAGACTAGTGTTCTAAAAATGAAAAAAAAAAAAACTTTTCTCCCTTTTTCCTCTGCTTACACACTCCAGAAGTATACCATTGCTCACAGAATAAGGACCAAAGTCCTTAAAAGGGCCTACAAAGCCCTGCAGGATATGACCCCAGCCTGCCTCTTCAGCCTCATTCGGCCTCACTGCTCTCTATGCTTTCACTTCCTCCAATGCTCCAAGCCCCTTCTCAGCACTGGACTTTCGCATCTACTATTCCCTCTGCCCTGCTGCCTTTGCCTAGTTAATTCTTACAGTGCCTTCAGATCTCAGTTCACCCTTCACTGCTTCATGGAAGCTGTCCCCAGCTCTCCTGACCAGAACAAATCCCCCTAGTATATATTTTCATAGCACCATGTAGCCCTCCTTTATAGGACTCAACATAGCTGTAATTTAACATTCATTTGTGTAATTCCCTAATTAATATACATCTGTCTTACCAAAATGTAAGGTCCATGAGTAAGAATATTTTGTTTTTGCTAATCACTATATCCCAGTCTCAATAAATATTTGTTGACTGAATGATAAGCACTCAACCTCTCTGTCTCCCCAACTGAGAACCTGGGTATTTTGTTTACTGAGGTAGCCTAGAACCTGGCACAATGTCTTGCACGAAGTAGGTTTTCAAATATTAGTTAAATAAGAGGATGAAGGAAGGAAAGAATTTCAGTCCTGTTCTCTTTCTCACATCTCTTCAGCCATAAGGAACAAAGGAGAGAATGGAGAACACAAAAGCAGGTAAATCGAAACGTTTCTCAGACACAAGAATTCAAGCTAAGCAAGCTCTGGAATGACACAGAGAACAAAGCAAAATGGCAAATGAGAGCAAAGAAGAGAGAAAAGAGAGGCAATGAAGGAAAATGGAGGAGAAAGAACAGACTAAAATTAAGAGCTGGTGAAGAACAAATAGGAAGAGAAAGCACACAAATGTATAAGTCAGGACAACACAGCACGGGACATAAAGAAAGTCAAGAAAGCCAAAATACTGCTTCCTATCATTCCTCCAGACCCTAAGGAAGCAACTGTTCCACAGCATGGGATCTGCCAAAAGTTTTCTCGTGAACCTAGAGCTGAAACTTAAAACTTTTGGAGGGACCAGCCCACTCAAGTAGAAAGAAAGGGATATAGAAAGAAGATGACCACATGACCACTACTGGTTGGATATACCAAGGATAAGCAGCACCTGACTTAACAGCTGCCCAAGGGGCAGTGGGCAGTTGGCCTAGCATCTTACCCAACGGATGCACTCATTACTGGACAACCCAACAGATCCCTTCTCCTGGGAAGTCTGAATGTAGGTCGGATAACATGGCAGCATACATTCAACAGTATTAAGTGGCCACACACCATGTCCCAAGCACCATTTGAGGCACTGAGGATACTGCAGTACATACAATATAACAGGCCTGTCTTCAAGGATTTTACATTCCAGTGGGGGAGAAAAACAATAAAGAATTGCAAAATAAATGTTTATTATAATGTCATGTACAGGAAAGTCTGATAAAGAAAAATAAAACAGAAGAAGCAGTATCGGGGGGAGATTCCACTTTATATAGAATGGTCAAGGAAGTTTCTCTAAGGAGATGACATCTTATAGAGACCTGTATGAAGGAGCGAAGCAAAACAAATACTTGGGAAAGAACATTCTAGGTAGAGAGAACAAGTACAAATTTTCTGAAGTAGGAGTACGCTAGGTGTGTGTGTGAGGAAGAACAGAGAGGTCAAGGCTGGAAGACTGTGAACAAAGGGTAGCAACTGAGACCAAAGAGGAGCAGGGGGCAGGTCCTGCAGAGCCGAGTAAGCCTCAGTAAGGACTCTGAATTTTATTCTCAGTGAGATGAGACGACACTGAGAGCAGGGGAATGATGAAAGAATAGAAAATCCCACACCACCGACCATGAGAGTGTGCGCAGGCCATGAGGGGGCTAGGATGGTAGAGAGGGTAGTTGGATGGTAGCAGACTTAGATAAGAAGCAGAGAGAACGGAGAATCAGATACCACAATACCTTGCATCCCATGCACGCGCTAATGAGCAAAACGCTAGAAGGCTACGGTACCCTGAACATCAGTATGGAAGGTGATTCCATGAGGCTGTGTGCTGTTTCCTGCCTTCCCTGTTCCCCATCTGCACTACCCTTAGAATATGGTCCAATTTACCAAAGCGAAGAAAGGCCCAAGCCCAAGTTTCTTATCATCTACTTGACAATTCATCACTAAGATACCTACCTACCTTACTTCCTATTTGTTTTTCCCTTCTTACCCAGACCAACGTTCTTTTCATTCCTTCATCCCTCAAGGCCTTATTTTATCTGTCCTCCATACTTGGAATACCCTTCCCTTGTACATCTCAACCCATTTATTTCTGTCCCTTGATAAGAAAAGGAGGTAGTGAATATACGGAAAACACCTTCAAAGAACCCAAGGAAATGATTTTAAAAATTAACAGGGAATGGGTGAACTGTATGGTATGTAAATTATATCTCAATAAAGTTGTTTTTAAAAATGGACAGGGAAGTTTTCCTCCTGCCTAAATTAAACAAAAAAACAACTAGTCTGTGATGTATTTAGGGCTCTCTAAAGATCTTCTAAATAATTCTTGTGATTGTATTACAAAAAAGGACTCTAACTAAATACATTTTCTGTTTCAATTGCTAAAACACAAAATGTAAAGTTTAACTCAATAGATGAGATACAGCATCTGGTAACACATTACTGGAGAAAAAATATCAATAAACATTTGTATTCACAAAACTAAAATGTCATGCACTTACTAGTGACAAATTTAGTCAGTGACACCGCAACTTACCAAATGAGGAGGAAATAAATAGGGACAACCTTAAACTCTATTTTGGAGGGTGCCTCAACAGCATTCCTCCCTTAAAAATCTATTTTAAAAATTTGCAGGGGCCGGCTCAGGGGCACAGCGGTTAAGTGTGCAGGTTCTGCTTCAGCGGCCTTGGATTTACCAGTTCGGATCCTGGGTGCGGACATGGCACAGCTTGGCAAGCCATGCTGTGGTAGGCATCCCACATATAAAGTGGAGGAAGATGGGCACAAATGTTAGCTCAGGGCCAGTCTTCCTCAGCAAAAAAAAGAAAAAAAGAGGAGGATTGGCAGCAGATGTTAGCTCAGGACTAATTTTCCTCAAAAAAAAAAATTTGCAGAATACTTTATTCCTTGGAATATCTGATTTAATATGCTCCAATTTTCATTTGCACGTCTTGAGGAATTTTAATTAAGGTAGGATTTGCTAAGGTCAATAAAGCTATACACACTAAGGATGCTGAAAATCCAATCAGCAATTTTTTTTCCCTACAAGTAGGGAAAAAGTTATGTAGTTATTTCCAGATCTTATAATCATATAACAAATAGATTATTTCAAATAACCACCCATTTTTTCCTTTATTTCACTAAATTGTAAAGTCTTCCCAAAAATGTAAGGACGTTACAAAAGGACTCAGAATAATGATGTAGAAGTTATATTTTGATATTATTTCAACAGTGGGTATTTCATCTTTTCAGATGATTGACTTCATTCTGAAACTGTAATATTCTCCCCAACAAATCTGACAGTGTATAGTGTATTTACCTACTAGAAATCAGGTGCCTGAGAATTTTGTTAAACATCTTCCTTCTTCAGGAAGGGGAGGAAGGGAAAGAGTCATTCAAAATAATCAGAGATTACTTTTATTCTCTAATATCAATAATTGAAAGGAAATGTTCACTGTCATAAGAATAAAAAAGATTGAAATATTTAATGGGAAATTCTAATTGCCTTTCAGAATAATTATCCTCAACTGACCCAAATTCTCTCCACAGCGTCTTCTCCAAGTAAATCTTCACTTCCCATCTCTACATGGTTGGAACAAAGTGATTGGGGTCTAGTCCTGCGATACTTTATGCCACTCTTATGACACCTAGTCCACATTGCCTAATACCATAACTAGCTATGAACACCCAGGAGTGAAAAGAATAGGAGAGGATGAGAGCCTAAGGCTGCAAAA